GATTTCATTTCTATAACCATAACGCCACTCCACAAATTCGTTTCTTTGTGAATAGTAACCAATTCGCATTATGAAAACATGTTTGTTTTAATTTGAGGAGTTTAAGTTTACTGAGTAAGTAGCGCGTGAAACAAAACATTTCGATTTATGATATTATTGTCAGTGATACACCGGCTTCCATTTCAGATAGCACTGAAATAAGCACAGCTGTGACCTAGTATCGTGATTGATTGAATATCTTTCAACATGTGTTTCAGTCGTACAGTAGCAAAACAACAGATAGCCAATCTAAATAGAAGAACACAGTTCTTGTTTTCAGAAGGCTTCAGGTTGGTCAGTGTTCTCAAATTATGAAGGGAATCTTAAAGGCAAATAGGGCAACTTAAAACAACTGACCACATCCGACATCATGAAGAGGAAGTTTCAGCTGACACGTTATTCTCACGGCAGGATATTTTAGAGATTCCGAAAACCAATTCCAGAGTCCTCTCTTCAGGTAGGTTTTCTATGTAAGTTGGCATAAGTCTTTCGAATGTGCATTCCACGAAATCATCGATGTTAATATGAAAAATCGTCAGTTCCATGCAACCAGTAATATATAGAGGCATTAGTCTATATACAATGAGTAAGTACTTTTGAAGGCTGATGACTGACGTCACAGCGGAAACCCCACAACAGTTTAAGAGTCACAGAACACACATGACTTCGGCCTTCATTTAAGGTCACCAGCGCACAGCAGAAACCTCACAACAGTTTAAATGTCACAAAACATACATGACTTCGATCTTCATTCAAGCTCACCGGCCTACCTGTTTCCTCTTACCAGGCTTTCATTGCTGGAGGGGTTGTAGCCATTTTGTGGCAAGCCTGCGTCATATATTAGCATGGTTGATGGTTACAGCCCAATTCTACGAAGCGTACTTTTGCACAAATCATGTTAGGGGACCCATGCAGGTGGCGACTTTTTATGTTGCGTCGAGGGGGTTAACTGAAATGACCAAGGTGTATTTTGAGCTGTAAGGATCTCTTTCAGTAATCGAAGTTTACAATTCCGTCGTTCCTCTACCCCTAACAGATCATGCCGGGGATGCTACTTGTAAAACCGCACGAGATGCATCAATGTTTGAAGCCGACCTGTGTCGCAAGCATTAAGAAGTGCGGTCGTCCCAAGCTCCTTCGTCAAGCCTAACTATATTTATCTCCGTTGTATTTTGGTCCATGTCCCGTTTGCAGGCGGCCTGTACGGCAGTGCGTGAAATGCCTTGTTGCAATCTTCGTGCACTTCTTGTCTAATGTCAGAGGCGAAATTTAACTGTGGGATTTATCAGGCTATTTAATTGCAACTCTGCACGCTCAAGGGGTGTTATCGGAAAATATCATTTCTATACAAAATATGAGATGGCTCGAGGATAGTTGTTGTGAATGTAGTGATTTTGATCCAAAAGTTTATTGGGCTGAAACAAAGAATGAGGTCTGCTATTCCGATCAATGGGATATTACTCAAAAATCGCTAGTCAGTTTGGTTCGTAGGTTTCCACTCATGAAGCACATTGGCCATTACGTTATCTCCTTCACCAACTGTAAAACCAGCTGATATACGCTGTTGTACCGTCCAGTTGAAATGTTCCGTCGTAAAATTAATAAATGTGGTCTCAAAATACACTTGTAATTCGGCAAAACAAGTGAAGTATGGGCGTTTCAGAAAGCGTCAGTGGTGCGTGTGAGCTGCTGTCTGGCCAATCTCATTATAAATGCTGCGACATTATCCAGGAAAAATAATTTAATACTATTATGTAGTTACAGAAGTGGGAAGCGGCACGTTGTGTATCGAAAATCAAGGTCCCTGACAGAGATCACAAACGAAAAAATGCGCATCCGTGAAAGTCACCTGGGTAAGGAAGTGTTTCAAAAAGAAAATTCAGCATTATGCTTCGCACAATGCGACCTCAGAAATCTTGACAGAATTTGTAGAGATGTCGCCATGTTAGCACGAGTATAGATGGAATGAATATTTAGGCCATGAGCATAGAAGATTGTGTTGTTTGAATTAAAGCCGTGGTTTCAAGCAGTTTACTTTTGCAATCAATTCCAAATCATTTCAAGAGCTGTGATCCGTATGTTTCCTTCGGTATTCCAAAAATTCTCTTTTTCACGGCGCCCCAACAATCTATTCCAGGTGTTCAGAACATGCTGATTTTTTCCCGCTCTATGTAGTTGAAAGCGATCCAGGTAAAATCTAGTCCTCGATTTCAATACAAATGTGAGGCTCACATGAAATTTAATGATACAAATACAGGGCAGCATGGTGGCTTTACGAACAGCTGAAAGATTCGAGGCGCGCTCAATTCCAGCAAACCAATAAAGTGCGCCCTAATTGCCAATATGTAACCGCGGATTTGCAATCGCACAAGTTAACATTAATCTGATGCGCTGCGGAAAATGGGCTACAGATAATTATCCTTTTATCCGATTCATTCATAAATGTATGGGGTACAATGAAGGCATCTCCAAACGCTGATGAACGCTAACAACGTCGTGCAAACCAGCTGCCAACTTTGTTTCATTTGGCTTTGCTATAAACCAATTTCCATTCATCAGCCGAGCATGACACACGCTCGTGTATTTTATTCCTGTAATTGGTTAGATACAATTAAAATTTAGACTCATTTACTCCGAGAAAATACGCTGTGAGTTATCGTCCAACTGCTATTTTTTCCACATGTCACATGTTACTTGGAGCTGACAGGACTGACTGTGTCTAAGTGCCCCTATGTTCAGTACACTTATTAGCTTTCAGTTGGACTGCAGTCGCTGTCCACTTTTACGAAGGTATCGCACGACCATTACTTACCTGCCTGCCGTTCTTCTTTACTTTAACGGCCCATTTGAATAAACGTCTTCTCATGTGACTCCGTAACTGAGCAAAAAGTAACTGATTATCTCTGTATACACACTGTTAAATCGCCCCAGTCAACTAGCCTAACCGTAGGACTCCCCGCTCGCCAAAACGCAGTCTGACCCACCACATTTTAAGCAGTGCACTGAGAACTTTACCGTGCCACTTTGCCTACTGATTAACTGGCGTTCAGCGCAACGCACTGGAGATGACATTGCATGTCAGCTGCTACCGCAAGCGCTGGCTTCTTGCAAGCTATCTGAATGTAATGAATAATTTCCAAAGAGAGGCACAATTGTAGTAGTGAGACCTCTCCACATACCATGTCGACAACCACCACTACCACTTGGTTGATGCATCGGCCAACAGGGATCCAAATTTCCGGCTGGACATTAGGTGTTCCGTTATCCTTGTGAATTGTTTATTTGTTGTTAAGTTGATGTTGTTTTATTTACGAATGGACACCATTTTATATCCTAGGTCCCGGTAGTCGAATTATTATTTTGAACACAACGGATGTGCGTACATTGAGCTCCCTGGGGAATACTTTTGAGGAAGGGTCATGGGCGAAATAGGCTTTCCTTTATTCGTAGAATTATTGTTCCTTCGTTCACTCGCAAGACAAATTCAGGAGTAGTGAGAACCAAGCCGCAAACAATAATTTCCGAAATTCTTTTAATTCAATTCGGATTTTGGATGACTCCGAGAACTTTCCCTTTTCTACTATTTTCGTCATTTCCTTTTTATTTTTTTCCATCATTATGGTCAGGGCACTATCTTCTAGAAATTGTTGGCATCGCTGGTCCGTCCGCCGTCTTCTACCTAAAGCAGACCGTCTGACACTTTTGTCAAGTACCTCAGCCCTCATCTGATCAACGCCAAGTAGCTTGCGTTATTACCAAAGGCATCGACGAGCAGGTTATTGTCATTCTGCTGACAGAGGAGCGCCAAAAATATGAAGCGTCGAAGATATATTGTGCAAAAATTTCAAAAATGAGCTCTGAGTATTTGATGGACTAAAAATCATACACTTTTACCACACTACTTTTGAGAAATAGCGGATAAGTTTTAAGTACCAATTGTGTCCAAAAAAGTATATGATGGGCCGGAAGCTCCAGACTGGGTTCCCAGTAGCTTGCTTTATTCAAGATTGAGAAGGAAAGACATCAAACTATTCTCCATTAATTTGCTGATGTTTACAGGATTTGGGAACGTCCAACGACAGCACCTTGTTTTGCGGCCGCGCACAACGTGATTCCATCATACAGGCTCGGGTGTTCATGTCATCGTTCAATTGGCAGACTGGCACAAATGGGGCTGAGAAACTTGCTGGCAAACACATTTTTTTAATCTTGACCTTAGACGAATCAGCGGGGTTTTGCGGGTGCGTTAGGACCCTGTTACATCGATAAGTAATGCCTGGTATCCTAGCAAACATTGTTTCGCGGTTATTTTACATAAGTCCTATGGGGGTTTCCTCGCAACTAAAAATGCAAGAAACGCCCACCTTGTAGCTATACCTTTTTCACCGGGAAGCAATATTGATAATGATTGTCAGGTCAGCACTGTAGTCACAAGACTAGCCTGCCTAGACAATACTTCTAGCAGATTGTCATTTGTATAAGGCAGTATGAAAACTGGTGTAATTTGAAAACGTGTAAATTCTCGTAGCAGTTGAAATGCATAGGCATAATTCATTATTAAAACTGGTCTAATTTAAAAAAGGCTGTTAATTTTCGTTGCGTTTAAGATGCGTAGGTCCTTTGACTAGGCAATCTAGGCGCTTCTTCACCAACCATAGTTTCCAAAAAAAGAATTTTTATTGGTGAAGGCCCGCTGAATTAAAAATTATAATCTAGACTAGGAGCCATGAATGAAACATGTCTAAAGCGTGGTCAGTTTGTCTGCCTAGGACCCTCGCGGCAGTTCTTTGTAGTGGTTATTTATTTCGCCTACATCAACTGTTTCTAATACATATTTATTCCAGATTAAATTTGACCCACTGAACCACGCTGAAAACGGTAAGACGGCGCATAATTATTTTTGTATTTTTGGATGGCTTTGTGTTCTTGCCCTGGTGTGGCCATGTTTCTTCCTCCTTTGGTTAAAAAATAATGGACTTATCGCTGCGTGCCGCAAAACCAACTTTACCAGCGTTATCGTCAAAGATTAGTTGGAACGAATGTAGAAAAGACATTCCCATGATAAGTCCTACAGGGCAGTCGGAAGACGTATTGTAAAAAAGGGTTCTGCATGTAGTTTCGCCGTTGGTGGTAGTCTGTGGAATAAAATGTTCATCGTTTCAGGTGAGAGCTGAGAGCAATGAAATCATGTGTAGTAAACGTGAGTGCATCGAACAAACATTGTACCAATTTTCAATATGCATATATTTTTATTTGTTTCATCCAGGACAAACTAAAATGTCATTCCACATTTGAGAGCTTTCAAATGCTACTGTCCTAGAGGCGTTCATCTGTATGATGACTATTCCCAAATTTGTCACCAACTAGGACGTTTAGAGTATAAAATTCATGCATCCAATTAAACATGCAACCGCTTTTTTGTTGCAGCATAACATATATAGCGGGATTAAAATTCGGAACCTTATTCCCAAATCACCAACTAGGACGTTTAGAGTATAAAATTCATGCATCCAATTAAACATGCAACCGCTTTTTTGTTGCAGCATAACATACATATCTGTATTTCATGGTTCCAGTATCAAAAATCATTCTATGATTCTCCACGTAAATTCCGGTTTTGAAAATGTATATCCTGCAAAACGGAATTGAACATTAGAGAATGAAGAAAGCTTCCCGTCAGGTTACCGAGCTCAAACATAAAGGTTCCTTGCTTACCAACTAACGCGCGTTTCCCAGTATGGACCATCAATAACGTTTACGTAGGTCACATCGTTAGAAAAAATTTGCTTCGCATTTTCACCCATCCAAAATGAACCACCGCGACTGGGAAAAAGAGATGAGGAATGCGATTGCCGACGGTTTAGTGACATTGACAACGAATATTCATACACATTTCAGCTCTCATAAATGAGGATGAATTAGGATATCGGACTTACTCCTGAAATTGGAAGCCAAACTTCCGACGCATTTGCATTTGCTGATGAACTGCATAGAGAAGAGGTTGTGTTTGTTCTGGAGACATCGACCGACGCCCCAGTCCGATGATTCCATCAAACGGACTAACAGAGACTTTCTCTGTAGCATCCATTACTAGACCAAACGGTGTGTTTTTGATAAGCGTATCGCCAAACTAGAATGGTTTCAAGTCAGTCGTGACATATAGAGCTCACATTTATGTCAGCTGTTGCCTTTTTCCCACTAACATTGCCGATTCCGTAAAGCTCGTCGAATAATTCTCCGCTTACCTTCAATGAGGTGACCTGAGAAATATGTAGTAGACTTTTGCCGCGCCATTGCCTTTTATCCACCCGATCCGAAGGTACCCAAATCGATGGTGAACCAGTATCGAGCAACATTCGAAACTCAGTTTGCTCAATAGAGATTTTGCATATATATTGCGACTTATAATGTAAATGGTACAAACGATAGGAAATTTACATCACCCCAGGGATACAATGGAATTTGGAACATAGTCCGTTTATCTCGCTCGAGTTTATCTAATCCTTCCGAAATTCTACGAAAGAGGTTTAGCGTGCTGAGCATCACTCACAGGTAGGAAGTGACATTTGCCAGGAGGCAACCAGTGAGGGCGATTAGGATAAAATCCATGAGTACAACGTTCCGCATTTCGGGTTTTTCTAACGCTCCTTACAATATGTATCGTAGACTAGATGATATTCCAAAATGGATTGGATTAAACGATTACCCAACCACCTTCCACGCAGAAATCGCACTGGCACATCGTCACAATGAAATAAATTTTTCTTGCATGAGAAATAGACCGGAAATCTCGAAATCTGTGTGTAACCAAATACCATTTGAATATCCTAATATACGTTCCGCAAATTCAGATGTTTATATGTTCCAAGTTCACAAACCTGTTATAGGTCCCAAAAGTTCAATACGTTTCTGGTGCGCAATACAGTGATCGTTCCAATAGGTGCCCATAAATACGCTCACCGCATTCACGACATGCAACGTCGATAGTTTTACCGCAATTGAAAGATTATTAATCGCAATCGATTGTGGAATCTTGCAGTTGCTGCAATGTTGGCACAAAAATATTGGACAAATGCCTAGTATGAAACTACGCATATGAGTCACTACTTAATATTCTGCGTTCAACATACGTAACACAGGCATACAATATAGGTGAGCCGTTTCCTTGGGATGCAGGTCTATTTGTTCTACCTAAAACTGCAAAGTCACTTTAGAACATGCAAGTTTCGCAACGTCAATCTAGATTGTGCAGTGAATTAATGTCATGTGCGTTTGGTGATTTGCCTGTTACAATCCGAGTGCGTACAGTCTTCTCAACCACAATGATATAAATTATTCGTCATCGTTCGTCGATGGATTCAGCCATTGATCTTTTAATCTCGCTTGAGTGTACAGGTGACGAGAATCAGAGCAACAACTGGAAAACTCAAGCGTAGACACTTAGCCCTCAAATTTATGAGCGCCTAGTTTTGTTAATTATTTTGGTTAATGCATAAGTTGAACCTTTTCATGTTTTATTCATAGATTATAGATTGGGCAGTGCAAAGGCTAAAAGAATTGTATCCGGAGGTTTAGCAAAATCGTCAGGGTAACAGTCGCCTAATCGTCTTCAAGCAAAATCGGGCAACAGTCGCCTAATCGTCTTCAGAACACGAACTCGGGGTTGGTTTATGGCGTAAAATCACGGACCAATCAGAATGTATGTAGTTAACCGACTCAACACCTATCCGCATAAATAGGAAATACTTCTGTGAATTGAAGGAGTATAAACTTGAGCTGGTCGGTGCATATAACTCAACGCTATCAAGGTCTGCTCGCTTGACGTAGGAAAGGTAAATTTCGATGAATTCAAAATTAGAATATTTTTGGTAGTTTTATGGGATATTTTTAATTCGTTCAACAATCACAATAGCAGCCTTACTTCATGTAGGCACTTATCAAGTATTGTGGCACCATAAATACAATCACAAAATTATACGAGTCACAAAATGTGAAATTTAGACAGCTTGGGCTGCGCAAGGGCACCAAAACGAGGAACGTGATACACACAAGAAGATTTGAAGGAAACGCTTAACAACACCATTGAAGCCATGATGGCTAATCCGGATCCACCAGGTTTGTCCTTGACATAAAATGATTTTATTCAATTAAAATGGTGGAACTGATGCAAGCACAATCATGTCGCTCAATTTGCAGTATGCACGTGAAGCTAATGAGCAGTTATCAGTTTTCCACTGTTTTCAGTAGGTGTCAGCGTCAGTATCTCAAGCCGGATATAGTCAACAGCGACCCTCGTAGGCATCTAAGAAATGCAACAATCATGCCGTTACTAGGCCTTTACTATGATGCTCTCACAGTTTTCGAAATCTGGAATTTTGCTTCTGAAATCCTACCTTCCAGTGATCCCAATCCAATTCAGCCTGCCAAACTGTGACGGTTTATTCTTTACGCTATCTCCCTCAGACAAAATATAAAGGAAGTTCATGAAAACATCAAGTTCACCTAGTCCGGATGATCGCAAATAAGCAAGAGTTGACGGCTATTTGAAATGCGCGTAGTCACACCCATTTAATAGCGTTTAAGAATATACCGGGTTCAAGTACAATGGTCTTGGCAATAAGTTCCCGTTGTGCTCACACCGTCTGCATAGTCAAATGGTTCTACCAACCTAGCTCATTAGTTAAGTTTCTGAGATATACTCACAAATATCTTCAGCAAAAATTGTTTTACTGGCGTTTGGTACCCTTCCATATTGGGGATACCCTGGGTCAGACCACACATACGACAAGACGATTCCCTTGACGCACAACATAGGTTTACATATACATTCTGTCATATTTCACAATTTAAAAAGCATGGCACATGACCCTATTGGGTTGAAGTACGAAGAGTAGGTCGTTTGAACAACGCGATGAAAATTGAAGTGAAAGGGACCCACGATCGTCGGCACACAAGACAACAATCAAGCGAATTTTTGTGAAGAAAAATGTTTCGGCTTTGTCTAGGGTGCTTTTGGTTCGGATTCTAAAAGCTTCCATTCTGTCGCTTTGGGATTCGCTCTCTCTGGAGCAATCTGAACGTATGGGATCGTGCTTGGTGGTGTTTTACAACTGGTTCCGAATGGACTCACCAAACACTGGCAGTCCTTTTTACAGTGTAATGTGACACTCACTCTGCCTGATGAGCGCGAAACTATTAGCGTAAGTTCATGAAGTTCTGAGGTGAAAAATGGGGTTCATTTTTGCTGACTTTGGTGAACGAATTACCTACCAATATCAATCAATCTGCATAACCCTAATATTGGAAGAATCATGCCCCTCCAAATTTTGAGCGCAACTGCTCCGGGGCGTGAATAATCAAATACCAAGTTAGCAAAATTAATCCAAAACGAAATATTCAAACTCCATCTTTCAGGATAAGTTTCGAATATGTTTTTTCACATTTTAGATGTATATTTTGCTTCTTAGGACAGACGTAAAAATGGACATGAACCATAAGCAGATGTGGACCCATAATCTAGTTTACCATAACTTCGATTCTTTCATGTTCAAATACCGTTTTGCACGCTCCAATTTGATGACTTCACAAAAATTGCTTGAACATGCTTTGAAAATAACACTGGCGAACATTAATGTTTTCGAGTTCTCTTCATCAGGTCAGCATTAATGATTAAAATAAGAGCGAAAACTGAACTACGCTGCGAAGATTGGGTAGCAAAATGCAAAACGTGAAGGCACGGACGAATGGTTGACTGCGCTTTTCCCCCATAATGTCGCATCTAGTTTGATGCTGTGAGACAGTGAAGAGGGCTGTTGGGTGACTTGGCCGGTTGATTCATGTCACACGACCAAGGCAGACTCAGCGTTCGTACGAAACGTTTTTGATAGCACAGTTCCGGGTTTCGCAGGCGTAAAGCGACTGACTCGGCTGCAGTCAAGCTACGGGGTTGAGTAGATACTGGCAGTCTATTTTGCACGCGATAAATGATTTGAAATGGCTCATTTGGTATGACTATGTGCCCGGTGTCAATCGGTGGGATACGGTTGGGCTCATGGCTGAGCTGATGAGGTTGGTGGGATTCCCGTAAGAGAGGTGCTTGAGTATTTTCCCAGAAAGTCGTGCGTCTAGCATACAGCAGAATAACAGCAGGAGAATGAGTACACAATCATATTCTAGGTGAGGACTGGCACCCTGTCTTTGAGGTTTAGGTTTAGCAAAGGGTTTGTAGGAAACCAAGGCACAGTGTTCCAGCCGGAAATGTGAGTTTTAAGGATTGAAACAAGTGGTGATTAGGCTTTATACTCCTTTTTACGGTAACCAAATATGTTGGCTTCTTTCCAACGATCGTGATTGGCGGTTGGATAGGGTGGTCGGACATATTCTTGGTCATAAGCCTCTCCGGTTAACCATTGGCTCGTAGCACGTCAGCAATATGCTGTAGGTCGGATCCCAGTGTATCAGCAGAGCTCGGTTCGTTAGAGTTTGAATCAGGGTTCGTTTCCGCCTCAGTGGCACAAAGCTCAGGAAGTTTGTGTATTGTCCCGACCACGTGAGCGTTCTGTAGACAAACCTCTGATTTGAACCCGTGTAGTCGCCAGGGGTTCCCTATCTGGTCCGTTGTTGAGTAAAACTTTCTATGTGCAAACTCAAGAGTTCAGACGCACGCGCGTTTGTCGAGGGTACGTAGATGCTACTTTTATGGTAGTATTAAACCGTTCCGAAATGAATGCTCTCCTGACCAACTTCAACCAAGCACATCATCCTATTCAATCCCACTGAATTATATTCAATTAAATCCGGAGAATTTCTGACTAATCAAACGTCCAAGAAGTGAAAAGCGTTGTCACTTTCAGTTTCAACTAAACAGTGGGTCCATAATCATGCATTCAACAGAATCTCTATCGAATGATTCTCTGCATTAGCCACCCAAGTTCCCGAATTGTGTTGTCTTCGGTAAGCTTGAAGTTTGTAGGATACGTTTAGAAAGCTCGTCCTATTTCACTGTGGTTTGATAGGTTACATGCGACCGTGGCACAAACCAAAGTGATTGGTCGTTTAAATATTCTAAAGAAAATTGACCGCGATTTAATCGGCCAAATAAACAGTCCCGTAGCTTTTTGACTTTTACAGCCGGCTTGCCGTTCCACCCGTTCTTCATCTCGAAGCGAAGCTGTTCTTTATGGTTGACCTTCAGCGACAAAGACGAATTCTCTGTCATTTTACTTTTCTCCATTCGCTGGCAACATTCAACATCGTTTACGCATCAGGCAATAACTGGATGGCTTCTGAGCGGCCTGGCAGTTATTACGGAGTGTTCTTATGTGATACTGAATCACATCAAGGGATTTCTGGGAACAGTCGAGCAGAAATGTTTCCATGAGATTGTTGGCCACTTGGTTATTGCCATTTTTTCATAAATGTTCAAACGTCATGTACCGGAGCACTGCACGACCGCATGCACTATCAAGTTCAGCTCCTTACATGCCGCCCATAATGGGCTGTCTCCATCAAAAGCGTGCGGAGTCCTACCGGTTCCTGTAATTTTCTTCGGTTGGCCCGCAAACTCAAACCAAACCTTGATTTAAATATGCAGGCCTTACACCAGGCACTTTATAAGGTATGAAATAAGATGCCGCTTTCTATCAGATCAGGAATGAGATGATGGTAAACATTTACGTCAAAAAGGACTTGCTAATTAAGTGTTTTTCCTTTTGATTGCGCAGGAATCTTTGATTACTTTCCCATACTCAAAGTGTATCTGGATGTCCGTTGATTCTCTTTAGAAATTTATTTCCAAGAGCTTGTGCACTATAAGTAATTCTCACAAAATAAAATGGAAACTGGTATCCTTGTCCCGCAATAACCTGAATTGGAAAAAGAATCTGATCGTCAGAAACGAGTAAATCGGCTGGGTGTTTATAACGTGACAAAACGTAACCGTTTTATTTCAACCTCGACATCCCGACAGATCCTGCTTGGGCATTGTGGCCTGGCATCCGAACAGACCATGTTGTGTGCAGATCAATACCTATTTATATTACATGATTTTATGGAGTAAGCTACGCAATTTTACTTCCCACCGTGGATGCCCAATGTGTAAGTAGTATATGCTTGGTCCGCACAAGCGTTCGTAACATTTGCGGAGTAAAAGATACGGATTTGTGCCGCCGATAGGATAAGGTATATTATATCTGAAGGGACCGGAGAATCAATGCTGTTGGTTGCACGCAGATGCCTACATCTAAAACGAAGCATTCGAGTTCCATTCGAGGCTTTTGCACTGAAAGAACCAAGTCTTCGCTCATGCTCCGATTACCGAATCAAAATATGCTTCACCTCGCTTGTGGTGGCGTGATGTACTTCGTCCAGAACATCGTATCGACCATACTGGAAAGGAAAGTACGCTTTCAGAATGCGACCATCGGCTTCATCACCCTTTTCCACAGGAATAAATGGTTATTAAAAATCGTCGGAATTACTTAGTCTAGTAATGAAGTATTTATCGAGCACAGGCTCGGAGTTCGGATTTAGGATGCCGGTGTTGTCCATGCTAAAGGCGCGTAAGGTACCACGGTGTATTGGGAATCATCTCATCTCGTCTCATCAGTTTACAACACTATAGACCATTATCTTTTTACTGAACGATTGAGAACAACTGTCCAAATTTAGCTGCTGCGTCGCAGTGCCAAAATGGCAAGCTGTGCAGAAAACGGTACATAGAATTAATCACTCTCGAAAACTGGCATGTATAGGCTCCATTATGCACGGTATGTTTTACTTGTTACTGCATTTATAACAAGGCTCAGCTACTGAGCCTGGTATCATGACTGAAATTGCACCTCAGTTTCAACAAGAGGGTAGCAAAGGCCCCCTGGTTCGAACATGCGATCGCGTCTCCGCTGCCTGAGAACATACGAGAACGCCCACGAACTTTCGCCAGTAGATGCTTCCGGATGCTCTTGCTAACATCCGCCAGCAAAAGGAACGCAGTAGCTGGTATCACCACTAAACATCTCATTTTAAATGAACATCCCTACATATGGAAAGAGCACCTGCCCATGCAGGACAAAAATGTCCTGTATCACAGGCATCCTAACAAGAGTGTGTTGGTGTAATCTAACAAAATTGGGGTCCTTTAAACCGCGACACTTGCAAACTGGCATTTCACATAGCTACTTGCACGAGTAAATTAAACGAATACTGAATGGGAATGCCTCCGTCCAAGTCAAAATGAAAACTAATAAGTGTGGGTTTCAATACTTTATCGTATTTACGTGTCGTTTTCTCTCGTGGCCGTTGTGTTTCGTTTTCATCGTGTTTAAGAAATGGAAGACCTTCCTGCGCGGGCAGCAAAGCCAACTCTACTCATTTGGTCGTCGAATATTAGTTGGAATGAATGTAGAAATGACATTCCCAGCACAATACCCACAAGGCTGTTAGCGGCAAAGAACAGCAAAGAACTTAACTCATAGTTGCTAATAATTAAGCCCATACGCTCATATCTTTAATCATATATATATATATATATATATATATATATATGTATATATATATATGGAGATAGACAGACAGCGACGCAGATGTGTGGATATAAGGTGAGATAGAAATTTACATGAATAGATCCTTTGGTCGATGGGTACACTGATTGTTCGAACTTCGTATTAATTAAACGATAAGTTTTGAGTGCTGAGGTTAAATGAACTTGTTGATTTACAAGTACACAAGCATGTTGGTTCTGGATAATAAATATGTGGATCAAGGGAGCCATAGCATAACAATATTTGGGTGGAAAATACACCGAAATATCACCCGTCTTGTCTTGATAGTAGGATGTTTTGCTGCGGTGAGAATAGAAAAATTAAGTCGCCTTTGTGTACGGAACTACTCTGATATTAAAACTATCCGTGCTACTATTTACGTAGGTATACCGCAGGTTATGCAATTTGTGATGCACAACCACTTTACAAATTTATGACCAGATCAGATTTGCTTGTTTGTCACGTGCTCATAAACCATGGTACTTTGACAGCAGAGACCATCAACCATCACTGATTCACTGGTGTCACCTGGATGGGTCCTGGCCGAATGATTTTTAACCCAGAAATTGTCTGACTAACAGTTGCTCTGCTTTCTCGCGTCCACAGCGGATTAAAATTACATTGATAAACCGGACGCCCAAATGCGTGCTCGTGGAGACACGTGGCTCGCACCAGAAGGAAAAACAACTCTTACCAGAGATTCTTCATCATTATCTGGTGCCAACATGGTCAAATTCAGCATTTGTGTCCAATTTCGGCCCTTTTTTCGACCAGGATTATTATGCTCCACTTCTGGAAGACTGAAATAGTCTCTGCGTAAACTCAGGTACGTTTCACACTCCAAAGCGCTACAGCAGAAAAAGGTTGCTGTATCGTAATTGTAAATATACTTACATATTTCTTAAAATATAAAGTTAAAAACATTGTGTTGAAAAGTAAAACGTAGCGGAAAACCGGTGTCTCGTGACGGCAACATGGAAAATATTGATTTCTTTTACAAAGGAAGTGCTCCAGACTCGTTTTCTTCTGCTTGCACTTGCCGGTTTCTTACCGTTGGCTTTTGATTCACAATTATTATCGCTGCCATGCTTACTGCAGGTGGTCATCGCTTCGAAATTCAAAGAACGCATTTGTTATGGTAATAATGATAAATATTTGGTCAAGAAAACGTTTAACAATTGAAAATCCCCACCTGTTTTGTGTATTGCTTTGGCATAATTTTAAATGATTTTCCTTGTATCCGGAATTCGACGGGAGGCAGGGAAGGCAACTTTTCACAATCAAACACATATGCACGGTTCAGCTGTTTTTTTATTCCAAGAATTTCGTTCATAGCCATGTGAATATCTCCCGGCAGACTGATTCCGCCAGCACCAGTGTCAAACATCATTCTGTGATCCCCAGTGCTAAACCCCGTGTTGAAAACAAATATCCTGCAGAGAAGGGAACCAGATGTGAACGAGACTGCAACCAGCTGTGCATTTATTGGAAACAGTGGGAAAGTGTCTTTGCTCACCAATCAAAACTCGTTTCCCAATAAGGCCCCTTAACAACGTTTACGAAGGTCATATCCGTGGATAGAAGTTGCTGGAGATCGTCACCCATCATGAACGATGCACTGCCACTGCAAAACGTGAAAAAAGCATTCGATTTCCAAAGAAATCAAACTTCCAATCATACTGCTCTGCTGAATGACATGATAGCGATTATCATAAACGAAAATAAAATCAGCACCTCATCAGCTTACTCCTGGCACTCGACTCCAAATTGCCGGCTCATTATTCCTTTTTGGGAGAAAAAATGGAAAACAGGTTCGGTATGTTCAGGGCACATCGCGCGACGTCCCAATCCGATAATTCCATCAAACGAGCCATCATATACATCCTTCGCACCACCCACAACCATTCCGAAAGGAACGTTTTCGATAAGCATTCCTCCGAACTAGAATTCTCCACAATTAATCGCGGCATTTATACTCACGTCCATATTGACTGTTGCCTTTAGTCCACCCACGTCCCCGCTTATGTATAACTGATAGAAAAGTTCTCCGCTGACGCGGAATGAAGTTGCCGTCGCTAGGTTCAACAAGTTCTTTCCAACCCAAAGACTTTTATCCACCCGATCCGACGGTACCCAAATTGACGGCGAGCCAGTATCAAGCAACATTCGAAACATGGTTTGCTCAATGGTAATACTGCATACATATCGCGTCTTATAATTTGAACGGAAGAAAACGGTTTAAACCTTACCTCACCCCATAGATATAAAGGAATCCTGAACATGGTCCGCTTACTTCGTTCAATTGTGTCTGGTTCTCGTGAAATACTACAGAATATATATTTTCATGTCAGGTTCTACTCACACATGGGATGGGCACTTTGTGAGGAGGCAACCAGTGAACAAGAGAAGGAAGTACAACCTTGCTACTACTTGCCGAATATCTGGTTTGTCATCTTTCCGTCAAATATGTATGTCAAAAACGTTCTGACGTGATGTGATTCGTATGAATTTCCAATCACTGAGGAGCACCTGAGCTGCTCACTATAGTGAAGGTATCGCTTTTCACATCTACGGGTTACAAACTTGGTAGAATTTCTAGACAATTAGTAGCCTATTGGGCTATAGTACTGTGCTTATTCCAATCTGAGCACACATATCTATTCACCAACTGCATGTCATGGACAGCCGAAGGTTTCGCGATGACCAAAGCATTTCGATCGTGGTGGAGTGGAAGGATCTGCATTTACTTAACGTTGGCCATAAATTAGAAAAAACAGCCATCAGACATCAAAATCAAAAGCTGGGCGCGTGACGTATATCTACTATCCCATGTTTAGAACAATGTAATAAATTGAGCATTTGAAAAATATAATGATTCTTTCAATCACGGGGTACACTTATCAGCCTTTTACGCAGGAATTATTTATACACGTCACCTGGAATGTGAGATATCTGCAGGCTTGCTCCAAACTCTTACCATGCCACAAATATCATCATTTCATATATCCATAAAAGGTGGATGAGTTAATTTACGGATATAAATAAGTTGAAAGCAGCGTGTGAAACTTAACATGATCCGGTTGATGTTCCACATGTGTGCGAAGTATTTCTGATTACTCAAAAATGAAATAAGTGTGATCAAAGCTAACAAAACAAAAACTGAATAGGTCTCCAGTGTGCAGCTTTATGCGCCCCCGAAACGGCAAACAGGTCAGAGATATTTGGGAATTTCACACCAACCGTGTGTGTTGTGTACTACATAAAATAAAAATGGTTATTTCTGGGCAAAGCCCAAACATTATCGTAGAGAACCTTGAAGTTGACGAGTTTGTATAAGCAGGCGCATTTGTTAACATTTCGACTTACCACCAGAAAAATCGGATTTACCAGGTCGAAAACTTTAGGAAAATTTTAACTAGCTCTTTTGGCAGCTCCTTAGTGACTAATCCACTCCTACTCATGTAGTTTCAAATGATCAAAGTCTTTCCGGGAATCATTGCAGTGATTCAACATCACGGTGTCTGGAAATACCGCACGCCAATGCGTGCCACGTAAATAGCTAAAAAGTCGGTAATTCACTATAAGAAAATTGACTAATTGAAGTTATATATAGTTATATGTATCGCTCCACCATTAACTAGCACAACATAGATATTGTGTGAAGCACTCTGTATAACCTATGAATTGTGATACCACGGCCACAAAAGATGAAATCTTCCGACTTTACCCAGTAATGACCACAACGTCTACCCTCCTCTGAAACTGGTGTTCACCTTACTGCATGAGATACTCAGCCCAGGTTCGCGTATCATCACCAAGGTGATGAAGCATACACACGGCAGCGTAAACGGTTACCAACGGTAGCTCACTTAGCCTGAATCCCCTTAGGAAAAATCAAGGTTTTTCTAAAGCATATGAAAATCTAACCTTCAAATCAAGATTTCTTGGTGAGACTGGGTAAAGTTGACGATAATTTATTAGCTGGTAGTGAACTAGGCATGTGTCCAATACCTCCATCTGAAATACACATGTTCACGATCGATACCAGTGACTATTTCTCCAGAGAAAAGTGGGGATATACAATACGCTGATACTCTAGTATAACTTCACTAGTAACAGCCCCGTGAGAATACCATCCCTGTCTACATCCTAAGTGGTAGTCAACGACCATGTGGGTAAATATGCAAAATGGGTGCACGAGGGCTGTGAAAATGCCAGTTTTCTTAGGCAAAAGCGGGGAAAGTAGAGATGCCCTGGTCCAGTTCGAACAACAAATCGTTCGATCGGAAAATTCACGCTCTAACCAAGGAGCTTCTAAATGAGTCAGATAGCCTCATTCCTTGCACAATTTCGCACCATCATTAGCTGGATGCCACAGGGATATTCTGACTCCACACGGGTTCAACAGCAGGTTGACTTCAGGCAGCTCTACGATGTCCACTGTGGCTTAATTTAAAACGTCTGAACTTCAACTAACACACAATCGTGTTTAGTGCCAGCTTACTTTTTCTCGGGAAGACTTTCAGTACTCGTTAGGTGTTGTTTCGTGTTAAGTTCAGGTCCGCGATACTCCAAGATTGTCCGTTGTTCGGAGCTAATCAAACACTCGTGAACTCACCACTCATTAAAGAATTTTCACACAGGATTACGATCGAAAGTGCATTTTGACATTTGGTAAATGCTAATCAAAACCCTTAAAAAATGATAAAAGGGATCCAATTATTTGCCAAAATAATTCAACGATGTGACTATGTAGTGCACGGCTGTTTTCAAAAAAATTCATAAGTTTGCGGTACTTCGGAAAGGTTTGTCCTAATTTTCGGCGTGATTGATTTGAACCAAAAAGTATCCGTGGTGGACTCGCAATCAGGATAATGCTTGAAAATAACGGTGCAATATGAGAGCATATTTCAGGCCAACGTACAGTTATTTCTATAATACTCAGACAGTGTCTGAGTCAGCATTAAATTTACTGATGTTGTTGTACGAATTGGCGTCGGCTGCGATCGTTGTTTGTAGAATACCACAAGAAGTCTTCTTTTCGTGTAGCGAATCAACCCGATGTTTACGGGAGCTGGAATGAGAAACTAATAAGTACACCATCCGTGATAATATCCAGCTTCTATAATACACAAAGTGTAAACAGTAGGAGTGGTGGAGAAGATTCACCATGCTGCCTTTCTTAATAAGTGGGTTCTGTGTCATATAAGCGGTAATAATGAACGGATCATGAAATGTGAAGTTGGCAATACTCCCCAACCAGAAATCAGTATATCAACCCGGCGAACATTCTCATCATAACCGCCTTGTTCATTGCGGGAGCTCGCCTATAAACTCCTCTATAATGAGCTTCCCTTCACATCAAAACCAGCCTCAAGTCACCGTCATACTGTTCACCAATACAATCAAGTTTGCTATTATGGTGTCCATTGAATAGTTTTCGTAAAAATTCCGTATGGATTGCTGCAGTTTACAGATTCCCATGTACCGGGAATCCAAAGGACGACCGTTTGATACACCAGGGGTACTCCGACAGAAAACCGATTGCTACCTGTATTTTGCACACCAAAAGTTTTTTTTCTCTCAGCAACTGACGACCATCGCGATGAGATGGTCGACATTATATTAAGTGTTGTCTTCGTGTTGTCTTGAAATGACCTGAAACCCTTATCATGAAAAATCATGTGCTGCGTGCGATTTCTACTTTATTCATACAAATGTTCTGAAATCTTGGAACTGCTAATTTTTCGGGGGATATATTTCAAATATGACAAGCGGAATAACACCGCAGCTTTGCGTTTTCATATCAGTCACGCGTTTTGAGCTAGCACACATTAGGCTAATTAAAAATACTGTACAGTGTCTGCAAATTCTCCCAAATGTTTAACCGTACACAAAAAAGTTCATTATAATTGGTTTGCGGAAACACAATGAGGAACTAAACCAAGCTGTACTCTACTGCTCAGCCGAAACGCACCCAAAAGTGAAAAATGAAGATGCTTCATGCAAAATGCCATCAGTACAAAATCCGCGAGATTTTGATGATTTTGCTGGACGATTTTTCCCGGTCATTCGTGATCGACATAGTGTGCACTTTATATATATGCGTTATCCTAACTAATTTCCGTTTGCATTAAGCCTTGGCATTTTTGGGTTTATCTTGGTTGCGTCGAAAACGCTAGGAAAGTGGGAGAGGACCAGTTGTGTAGCTTGTAGGTAATGATGTCAAATACATCTTTCTCAGACGTGTCAACTAATCAATCGCAGTTCCATTTCCAACTATCAGCGTGCAAGACTGTCAGATCCATCATGGTAAACACCATTCTTGTTGTCTGAATGCACTGTCACTGAAAGACCCAAATCAAACAAACCGATTTCCTCAGAATACCTCACTTTATATTGGTTAGATTAATCTTACTGCGATGGCATTTCGACTGATTTATGTTTTATTTCTTCTGAGGAAGTACCTATTTCCTTCGAATCACAATTCTAACCAAATGAATCATCAACGACTTGCAGCAGTAATACACGCTTTCTAGAAAAGAATACTAAGTGGCACAGTGCACCGCCCATTTATTGTTAATAATGGCAACATGATTTAGTCCGCAGTGGTACCTACTTCACTAGCTGGACATAAAACAAAGACGCCACCAAAAGATCCAGTGCTGCTGGTACAAGAAATAATCACATGTGCCAAATTTGATTAAAGGAATAAAACATCATTTAGCAGTGCGAACTTAATCGTGACCCTGATTTACTTAAAAAACGCTGTCCTTCGGATGTAAGACAAACCTGAAAACAATTAAATTGCGGCACTAGATTTTCAGAGATAGGGGTTGAGAAACAATGCAATTCGGCATCACGTTGAAGACTGGATTTCCTCACTTTGTCTGTTTGGCTGTTAGCGACGCTGGACCAAAACGCAGCTCTTC